CTTCCATTGGCCAGGGATCTTCAGAAGCATCCAGCGCTACGTCGGCGAATGCACCGACTGCGAGACGGGAAAGGGTCGACCGACCTTCCAGGGCGAGTCGCCGGGCAACATCGTCGCGACGTACCCGTTCCAGGTCATCGCCATGGACCATATTCCATCGTTGCCGACATCCTACAAAGGCAACACAGAGCTGTTAGTCTGGGTCGACCTCTTCACGGGGTTCGTCGTGGTCAAAGCGAATGCGTCACGAACCGCGCAGACGGTGGCCGAGGCGTACGAGGAGGCGGTGTTCAGGCGCTTCGGCGCGAGCGAGGCTATCCGCCACGACCGCGAGCCGGGCTTCATGTCCGACTTCTTCAAGGCACTCAGCAAACTCATGGGTCAGAGACAGCGAGCGATGCTTGCTTATCGTCCCCAAGCCAACGGTGCTGCAGAACGGATGGTGCAGACGGTTACAAGAGCGATCAAGATGTACATCGCAGACGTCGACCAACATGACTGGGACGAATACGCCGAGCGTCTTACCTTCGCGCTAAACATGTCGCACGACCGGACGAGGAATGAAACCCCGTTCTTCTTAGTGCACGGCTGGGATCCTCGGTCGACGCTGGCCGTCGGGAACACGTCGACCCGGGACTCCGAGGCGAGGCGGTGGAGGCTCCGTATTCAGCGACACTACAAGGTGGCAAGGGCACAAGCGTTGGAGTTAGTCCGAGAGGCCGTCGAAGAGAGAGCGCGTCACCAAACTGAAATCGCGACGCGACATGAGATCGCAACGGGCTCGCAAGTTTGACTGTACCTGGATCGGGTGAAGCCGGGGTATGCGCGCAAACTCGCGCACATGTGGCACGGACCCTTCCGCGTCGCCGAGCTGGTCAGCGCGTTCGCAGTGCGCCTCGAGACGACGGGTACATGTACCCCGTCGTCCACATCTCCAAGCTGAAGCCCGTCCGGGAATTCCCGTCGCGACCCGCGACGCAGCTGACGGTGCCGGCCGAGGAGCGCTTCGACTTCGACGAGGAGCTCTTGCCGGAGGATGGCTGGGAAGCCACGCGCGAGCTGGAGGACGACGTCTTCGAGGTCGAGAAGATCGTGAATGTGCGCGAGGTGCGGGCTACCCGGTATGGGCGCACGCGACGCGAGTTCGAAGTCAAATGGAAAGGCTACCCGGACACGACGTGGGTCGACGAGCTCGATCTGAATTGCGGCGGGTTGCTGTACGACTTCCTGCGCCAGCGCACGGGACGCAACCGGTTCGAGGCGATGCAGTCGCACGAGAACGCGGAGGCGGTGGAGTCTGGTGGGTGAGCGCCCGCGGGTGCGACTAAGTCGGCGGGGGGCTGCCGACGGGAGGACTGGTGGGAAGCCTCGACTCTGGGAATGGCCTGAGCGAGGGATTGGATGAGGGAAGTGAGGAGGACCAGCCTGTTGCTGAAGATGGGACGGCGGAGGGCCGTCTCATAAAAGATGTGGAGAAGTGGAAAGAAACAAGGGGAAAGATCAAGGCTACGTGTTGAAGTTACGGCTACAACAACTAAACGCGACGGACTACAACGATGGGCCAAGACTCAAACCTGCTGGACAAACTTACCTGCAAGACGCGGCACATGGAAGGCTGGGTGATCGCGCGTCACTCGGCAGCGTACGTTGGCGTCCATCTCGGCCACAGTGAGTGGCGTTCGATAGAACCGGCGCCAGGGCTCCTGCGCGTCGATCTCGTCGAGCGCGGCTTGCAACGTCGCGTGCTGGTGGCCTGGATACCACCGTCCGATCGACGTGTGCGCGGGCGGAAAGTGAAGCACCATTGGGTCCAGCAAGAGGTCCATGTCTGCGAGCCCTTGCTGGAACAGCCCGACCACCAGCTGCAACAGGCTGTTGAGGTGGTTGCCCGCGTGTGAGCGACGCGAGTTGCGCGCCGTGCGCCACCTTTTCCACGCCGCGCCCTGCACGAAGAGCGCATGGGTGGCCTCCCAGTTACGCCTGAGCCCAGTGCTCGATGTGGTGCCGGAGCCGAGGTAGGTATGGGCGAAACGCCGCGTCGCCGGACGCGAAGAGAAGAGAAGCGCCTCAGCGGCTTGAGCGAGGTAGCGCCACGGCCGAGTCGCGTATAGCGCGTCGACGTTGGCCAGAGTCACGAGGGTGCGGTTCCAGTTCGCAGGCGCTGGGGGAACACGGCGCGGAATGATCCAGCCGGGCGGCGGCAGGAAGAGCATTCGCAACTCCTGCACGGTGATGAGATGAAGGTGGAGACGTCGTACCCGCTTGGACCAAGGAGCGTAGCGAGGCTGCCGCCAGCCAGACGGAGTTCCGGCAGGCGGAATCACAGGGTCGAAGAAGGGCGCCGTCGGAGCACTCCCCGCCGAGCCGCTAGAGGCGGTGCTCGAGGACGAGGCGCGGGACGACGAGGAAGCGGACGAGTCGTTGCCACTGGAGTCGCCCGAATCGCCCGGACCAGTGCCTGGTCCAGCTCCGGCTGCCGCACGGCCCTCGACGAGGAGTGCGTCGGCCGTGCAGGAGAATTGTGACGCGAGGCCGCCGACCCCACCGAGTGCGTCAACCCCGCCGCGTGCGCCGAACGCGTTGAGCCGACCGAACGCGTCGACGCCAAGGAGGGCGAGCGAGAACGCGAGCGCGAGCGTGGAGGCGAGTGCGAACGCGAATGAGAGGCCGAGTGCGCGTGCGTGGCAGCGGGACGAATGTGGTGTAGTACCCCGCGGAAGAAGTGGGCGCGCCGGGCGCGGAGGAAGAAGGCGCCGGGACGCGAGTGATGGACTTCGACGCGGCTGATGGAACGCGACGCGGATTGATGGGCGCGACGCAGGGCCGAGCTGGACGGGAAAGTCGGCGTGGGTGATGGGCCGTGAGACACGGTGCCAGAATCCAGTGGGACGCGTAATCATCCGACGGGTCGACCAGTGCACCCGGTTCTGCAAAACGCGCCGACCCTAACCCCGCCGAGCAAGACGCGCCGACCAAAACGCGCCGACCCTAACCCCCGCCGACCAAAACGCGCCGAGGTAAGATCTTGATTGCGCCACGCAAACCAGGTTGAAGGACGGCAGTGCAAGCACGACAGAAGTAGGGATAGGCCCAGAGCGGTAGGCTTAGCAAGCAGTAGTACAGAGTAGCCAGTAGCAAGTAGCAAGGACATAGGATAGGGTAAGGACTCAGTCCCGAAATTTCTCTGAACCACAAAGACCTCCCGTCTTCTCCGAGGTTCCAGGGGAACCACCAAGCGCAGGCAAGTAGAGCCGCCTCGATATCGCGGCCCCTCGTCGTTTGCTGATTCGGGTGCTCACCCCCCACAGACCCGTGCTGGAACAAAGGCACGTTAAACGTATACCGTTTAGGTGGGCGCCCGATAACGCGCTGCCTAGGCGAAGGACCGCACTGGCCTGATAACCGCCGTGCACAAGACCCCCCGTGTAGGCCCGATAACGCCACACAAGCCCCAGGAAACGCCGGCCCGATAACGCCGCACGCCCAAGGCTCGACGCCCTACGAGAAGGAACAAGCGTCAACACAAGAACCTCCCCAACTCCGAAGCCTGCGAATACTTGGGCCTGTATTTCGAAGATACGCTACTCCAACAACCGGGAATAATTCGCTCGGCGCGACCGCTATCCAGACGCGCCGAGTTTGTGCGAGATCGCATTCGCGAGATTTCGGCGAGGGCGCTACTCCACACAGGTACGTCGTGGAGCTCATGCGGGGCTTCATGACCTGGGAGCATGCAGCCGAAGCTGCTGCCTGCTCCAGCACTAGCAGCTCTGGCGGGCGGGGCGGCGGTCGTACCAGCACTACCCACTCTGGCGGGCGAAGCGGCGGAGGTCGTGGCGGTGGTGATACAAGCGCCGGGCAGTCCGGTGGTGGTAGTCAAGCCGGTGGCGATGCCAGTAACCGGACCAGTGGACGCGGCAGCGGCGGACGTGGAGGTGGCCGGAGTGGACGTGGAGGCGCAGGTGGTCGTGTTGGCGGAGCTGGAGGCCCGCCTGTCACAAGGAGGGCCGGACGGCGCCGCACGACCTCGCGGTGTCTGCCGCAAGTGTGGCTCGACGCAGCATCAAGTCCTGAGCTGCCCAGACACCCAACCCGGTGAGGCCGAACGCCTGCTGGCGGAACTGCGCGCGCGGCGTGCGGCTCCTACAACTACCTTGCGTCGAGTCGAGACCGTGGCCGAGCCTGGCCATGAAGCTGCGGCAGCGACAGAGCCATCAGGCGCAGTTGAAGCGCGAGTGGATGGACTGAAGGTCCACGCTCTCCTCCTCGATACGGGGGCCGACGAGTCGTTGGTCGCCCAGGGCGTCGTGGACGCCATCAAGGCCCGCGGAACACCGGTCTTCTTGGCGGACATTCCGCCGCGCACACTGTCGCCGATCGGAGGCAAGGACTTCGTCGTTCATCAGGCAGAAACGTTCCGCGAGGTGGAGTTAGCCACGTCGGCCGGACCCTTGATGCTAAGGAACTTGGCTTGCCTGGTGGAAGACGGCAACACGTCGCTGGACTTCACGCTGGGGCGGCCCATCATGACCGTGCTCGGCTACTCGGCCGACGAACTGCTCGCGCGTGCTCGAGGCACTAAGTCGGAGTGGGAGCTTGGTGACAATGAGCAAGTGGGGGACGACGCCGAGACAACGGCGCTCCAGCGCATGTGCCGGATGCAGACGCACGCAAGAGACATCGCGTTGGACACAATGGCCCTAGAGGGACTCGTGGACAACACGGCGCCTACCGACCAGGACTGGGGTGGCAGCGACACGGTGCACGGCGGCACAGACTCGCCCGAGCCCATCTTCAAGACGAAGAACCTCACGCCCGCTTATTGGCAGTTGCCCCTGTCTTCACGTGGGGCCCAAGTGCTGGCCTTTCAGACGCGGGATGGCTGTCCGCGTTTCAGTCGCGTGCCCGCAGGAGCCCACGCGACAGCCACCGAGAATGCCGATGCTGTGGAGAGACACGAGACCCGCACGACGTTGCCATCGCTCCGGTTGCATGACTCGTCAGCCGTGCACGACATGTTGGATTCGAAGCTCGCGGCGGCGCGAGCGAAGGGTCTGTCCGCGAAGGGGGTCAAGCGACTGCGGGAGATCCTGCTGCGACGCCAGGATAGTTTTCGTCTGGAGTTTGGGAGCGACCCGCCGGTGAAAGTGGCGCCGCTGCAAGTGCGCGTGAAGGTCAACGCGCAGCCCACGAAGGCACAGCCAAGGCGCTACTCACCGGACGACAGGGCGTTTCTTGACCGCCACACGGCCAAGTTGCTGGAGTTCGGGCTGGTGTTTCTGAACCATCGCTCCCGTTGGGCGTCTGCGCCGCGGATTGTCCGCAAGAAGGAGCAGGACTCGGATCCGACGGCCGACCCGCGAATGACGATTGACACCAGAGGCGTCAATGAGCGCACGGAGGCTATGCCGTGGCCCATGCCCGTGCTGGAGGTCGTCCTCGGCACCTTGAAAGGAGCCAAGGTGTTCTTTGCCTTGGACTGGTTCCGAGGGTATTGGCAGTTGCCGCTGCACGAATACTCGCAAGAGCTCTTCACATTCATCACCCACCGCGGCATGTACACGCCGACGCGCGTATCGATGGGCGCCACCGATGCTGTCGCGTACTGCCAGGGAGTGGTCGAAGAAATCTTCGGCGACCTGTTGGGCAACGGCATCCTAGCGTGGCCAGATGACATCCTGGGCTATGCCGAGTCCGAGGACGAGCTGCTGCAGCCGCTGGACCAGGTGTTGGCTAGGTGTGAAGCCTACGGGCTGAAGCTGCATGCTAAGAAGTGTGACTTCTTCGAGATTGAAGTCAAGTGGTGCGGTAAGATGGTGTCCGCTGCTGGCGTACGCCACTGCCCCGACCGCGTGCAAGGACTCGTAGAGATGCAGCCGCCGCAGACGGCTGGCGATCTGCAACAGTTCCTGGGCGCCGTGGACTGGATGCAACAGAGCATTCCAGAGTAGATCCGACTGACAGCCGGTCTGTATGCCGTACTGGAGGAGGCGATGAAGGCGGCGGGATCGCGGAAGAAGGTCAAGCTCGCCAAGTTCCCGTTGGACCAGATCGGCTGGGGCGACCCACAGCTCGCGGACCTTGTCGCTGTGAAGGCTGCGCTGCTGAAGATGGTACCGCTGGCACACCCGAGCCCGACAGCTGAGGTGTGCCTGTATACCGACGCCAGCCAGGACTCGTGGGGAGCCGTGGCTACGCAGTTGGAGCCTGGTGAGGTCCAGCTGCCACTGGAACAGCAGCACCATCGCCCCCTGGCATTCCTAAGTGGGCGCTTTGTGGGCGCGTCGAACCGCTGGCCGGCGATCGAGAAGGAGGCGTACGCCATTGTGGAGGCGGCGCGCAGGCTGGAGTACCTGCTTCTCCGTCCTGGTGGTTTCCGTCTGTATACGGACCACCGCAACCTCGTCTACATCTTCGCACCGTACGGGCCTGACACTGCGATGGATCGCTATCAGGCAGACAAGTTGCAGCGATGGGCGCTGTCGCTGCTGAGCTTCATCTACGTTATTGAACACGTGCCGGGAGAGGCCAACGTGTGGGGCGACCTCCTGAGCCGCTGGGGCGCCACGAAGATGCCTACGGCAGCGCCAACCGGTGCCAGGATGTCAAGACTGGCGGCTGTTGAACGCGTCAGCCCACTCGAGGCTGTCGACTTCGTGTGGCCCAGTGAGGACGAGATCAGGGCGACCCAGCTCGCGAGAAGGGCCAAGGACTCGATGGAGCCAAGCCAGCCGCCGCTGTGCTGGTCGGATGACTGGTGGCTTTTCTTGCTAGCGGATGAGGGCATGTGGATCCCCGATGATGCTGTGGAGCTGAAGCTACGACTATGTGTGGTTGCGCATGCTGGTGCTGCCGGCCATCGTGGAGCCAAGGCCACCGCGAAGGCACTAGAGGACCTGTTCTCGTGGCGCTCGCTGCGCAAGGACGTGGCGGTGTTCGTCAGCGAGTGCATGCACTGCATGGCCACTGCGGCTGGGAAGATCCCCCGGCCGCTGGGCGAGACGTTGCGGGCGACCAAGCCCAACGAGCAGCTGCACTTCGACTTCTTATCGATGGCGGAAGGGTATTCCAAGCAAACTGATCACGGATCCTCGAAAGACCTATAAAGAACTTTTCGATGGCATCGACCAAGAATTTGACATGACTGCAGCATGTCCAATTAAGATCGATAACAAGAGCCAGCGTGTCAGCCGAAGACAAGCATTTACACGTATTGTCAAAGCTTAAGTAATGTAATATAGCAGAGTTTAGACCAACATGGAAACTCAATACGTAGATGATTTCAACGAAACGGAAGAGGCGTATGATAATAATTACGAAGAATGCATGCAGAGCCCAGTTAAGAAGATCACTAAAAAAAGAGAGACGTCTCTACTCGTCCGGTCCGAGGGGTCGCAACCGCAGGCGAATGACCCCTGGGGGCATTTCGCCAGAGCGCCAGCTCTATATGAATTTAATGATATTGCTACTCGTGCTCGTCCTCTATCGCCGAAGCAAAAAAAGAAGTACCAAGGACTTCTGACTTTGCATCCAGACAAGCTGATGTTTGGAACAATTGAAGATTATTGCTCGTATAAAAAAGCTTGGAGCGTAAAGTCGTCTCTCCACCAATGACTCTACGACCCCTTTACCTCAAAAATCTCCGGAGAGATCTCCAAGTAAAGAGTCTACCAAAAGATCTCCGGAGAGAGCTTCCCAGAACGTATTGCGGTACTCTGCGGAGAGTATTGTTGTAAACTCTATCTTATCAAAACATCTTATGGAAAGTATAGCTAACTGCAAACGCTAATGATTGGCTAAAATGTGAACTAACTTTTTTCGCTTCCATTCCTGAACTCGACAGTCGGAGCACAGCAACGATGGAGGCGCTTCTCGCTGAAAATGCGCTGCTACGTCAGCAGGTCCAACAGCTAGAAGCCCAACTCACCCACGCGCAGGACCAACTCACCCACGCGCAGGACCACGCGCAGGACCAACTCACCCGAGCGCAGGCGCTGCTGGATAGTGAGCGCCAAGAACGCGCTGAAGACCTTCGCAGCCACCGCCGCGAGAGACTGGCTCTCATCAACGATATCGGCGGGAGGGTTGATGGTCTTCTAACCACGCATAATGAAACGAAGGACGCTATCATTGACCGTTTGGATACACTAGAAGGCAAACTCACCGACCCGCCATCACCTCCGAAGACCCATGGCTTTGCAATTACCTCACGAGCTCTCGCCGGTGACCTCCAAGAGCTCAGGTTTATCGCTGGCCAAGCCAGCTATGTAGAGCGACGGATTAATCAGGTTGAAGGCGATGAGGAGGTGATTGTACCATTCACCATGGACGGCAATCCGATTGATTTACGGAATAATTTTCAGAAGGAAGCTACACGGTCAGTCCGGGCAAATATTGGTCGGGTACGTTCAAGTCCAAGTATGGAGCTTAACAGGTACCATCAGGGCAGGAGGAAGCGGGCGCGAGAGGAATCGAGTTCAAGTGTTGCAGGTCGAAAGTCAGCCAAGACCTCATCGAAGACATTATTAACCGAGTCCTACTTGACTGCATTGCGACGACGCCGTCAAATAGAGCCTCGCCGCTCTTCAACATTCGCGCACTAGACGTGTATCCATCACACCATGCACAGGTCAAGGCGTTTCTGCTTAGACTTAGAGAGAGTTTGCATAACGAAAACATGTATTAATCGAGCCACCTACTGAGGGATCCGCTTACTACGTGCTCCCGTAAAGATCTGCACCAGAAGCACTGGGCTAACAACATGAGGCATAGTATGTAGTTACTCGTCCCTGATCGGGAAAAATAATTGAGTGGATTTCTCCGATGGTCTCTTGCCGCGGCACTTTTGCTTGACTGTTCGTTCGTTGCTCGCAACAATTGGGGGAGAGTTGTAGGAGTAAGAAAAATTGAGTTGGCTGTCCCTTGCCACAGTGCTTGAGCTTAGCCGTTCGTCTCTGGAAGGCAACAGCATTAATAGGTCCATTGTACTCGCACCAGGCGCAGCGCTCGGAGTCGAAGCGTAGCGGTGAGGGGGATGAACTTCCTGGGGGGACTCAGATGAAGCCGCAGCAATTGACGCTGTGGTTGTCTCAATTTCGGTGAAGTGTCTTGATCGACGATGTGGAACTTCTGAGCGTGCATGAACTCTTTCCGTGCGCTCTGTCCGGTGGCGACTTTGACGAGCGCTAGAGGCTTCTGAGCTTCTTCGCCTGTGAGAGCGGCTTTCAGATGCCGAAGTAGAGGAACCCGCCGTTTCGTTAGGACCAGGCGTGGCAATTGATGGAGCTGGCTCAGGAAGAGCAGGGGGGAGTCCGAGAGCTGAGCGCTCCGCCCGATGCAGCTTGTCGTAAGCCACTTGAGCGCAGCGATGAAAGAATGAAAGTGTGGTCTTTTGCTTAGGCTCGTGGTTGGCTACTTTCCTAGAACTTCTCGGAGTCAAAACTATTACTATCACCACTCCAGCATTGTCTGGCCGTTGGATGACCTGTTCAACGGTGGAGATATACTTGAGTCGTGTCACTTCACGACAGAGGCCCCCATCTCCGGCGTGACAGGACGAAGCCGACGCATGTGCAGTGTCTCCAGGTATCGCTGCTTCTTCACTACGACTGTACCGTTGCTGCGTACAGCATCAACCTCGTAAGGCCCGGTATAAGTAGGGGCAAGCTTTGCTCGCCGTGGGTCATTGTTGGCGACCATCACCATGTCACCTGGGGCATACTCGTGAGTATTGCGCCCAGCGTTCTCACGGGCGGTAGCCTTGGCTACCTGAGCCTCCTTTCGCTCCTTTTGAGCCTCCCAGTCAACCGCGTGCGGGACATCAAACAGCATGTCGCGCCCGAAGGCGGCTTGTGCTGGACTGCACCCCATCATGGTATGATGAGAAGCCCGCAGCGCGTACGCTACAGACGACAAGCAGTTCTCCCAGTCTTCCTTGCTTGAGATCTTCTCAGTGCGCAGCTTCTCGTTAATACAGCGATGCATTCTTTCGACTGTAGAGTTGGCTTGAGGGTTCCGAGTCGTAGTGGGCGCCTTCTGGATTCCATAGGACTCCAATAGCTCTTGCAAATCGAGTTTGAACTCAGAGCCACCATCGTAGATGCACCGCTTCGGCCGAGGGTATCGGTTGAACCAGACTTGATCCACAATCCGTGCTGCTTCAGCACTGGAGGGGTCGTGCTGTGCCGCGAGTTCGAGCAGGCGTGTGCTCGTGTCCATTATCGAGACTGCACGCCATCGACCTTGCAGAGGCCCAATTGAGTCGACTGCGATCTCATTCCAGGGTCGAACTTCCACCGTCTTCTCCGGAATCTGGCCGTACGCTTGCGGGAGCGTTTTGCTAGTCGCACACACATGACATCTCTGCACATAGCGTTTAACATCACTATCCATTCCTCGCCAGAAGAACGTCGCCTTAATTGACTGCGTCATGACCGTAATCCCAGGGTGGATTAGCCATTCGTGGTACGTTCGCATGATCGGCTGCTGTAATTGCTGTGGCACTGCAATCTTCCCGTCCTTGGCAGTCACAATCAGCTCTTCACCGCCAATCTCACGCAGGACGAGTTCCTCGTTCGTCTTCAAGCTCGCTTCAGCTTGTGCCTCGCGGATTGCGCAGGGGGCCAGCGAAAACAGCTCAGTCTTTCCGCTAGCAGCGGCCACGACCTGCTCAGCAGGCGACGTGATCGGCAGTCTTGACAGTGCATCTGCAACCACATTATCCTTGCCCTTGACGTAAACTAGCTCCGGCCCATACTCCTCTATCTCCAGTCTCCATCTCAGCATGGTCCAATTCGAGAAATATTCTGAAACGTACAGTTGCGGTGATCGGTGAATACTTTGATCTTCTGCCCCCACACGATCGACCGGAATTCACGCAGCATAAGCAGACTGCTTAACAGTTCCTTCTTGTTGGTGGCGTACTGGCGCTGGGTAGCATCACACTTCTGAGACCAAAATGCCAATGGTTTCTGGTCTTGCATCAACACGCCACCAAGCTGGTAATCGGAGGCGTCCGTGTAGATATCAAAGGGTTTATCAAAGTCAGGGTACGCCAGCTCCGTGGTGTCACTGATCATAGCTTTCACGGCTTCAAATGCTCGTTGCTCACGCTGCGTCCATCGGAATAGCACCCGTGGAGATGTCAGCGCCGTCAAAGGAGCGAGCGTAGAAACTCGACTGGGCCACATGTCCTTGTAATAATTCACCATCCCAAAGAATCGACGCAGATCGCGAAAGTTTCTCGGCGATCAAGGCGTTTGATGGCTTCCACCTTGGTGCCGATGGGGCTTTTACCTGTCGTAGAGATATTGTAGCCGAGATAATCAACATTCGTGGCGCAGAATTTGCTTTTAACGGCATGTACCACCACTCCAGCTTCAATCAATCGGTTCATCACAACTTCAATGTGGTGGTGTTCATCGAATGTCTGCGAGAGGATTAGTACGTCGTCCAAGTAAATGCGGACGTACGTCAGATCACCCAAGAGCTCCGTCATGACTGCATGAAATTCATCTGGTGCGGTGCTAATGCCCATCGGTAGTTTGCAGTAGCGATATTTGCCCCACGGTAGTAAACGGTCGGCTCTGCATTGCAATCTCGCGACTATAGTATCCCATGACTAAATCTAGAGTCGTCACAAACACGGGCCTCGGCAGCTCGCGGAGCATGTCCTGGATCTTCGGCAAGGGGAAGTATCGTCGCTCCAACCACTTATTAAGACGTCGAAAATCCGAAAGAAAGCGTACTGAGCCGTCCTTTTTGGGGATGACAAAAGCAGGAGAAGCCCATGGGGAATCCTTATCTGGTTCCAGGATACCAAGTCGCACCAACCGCTCGAGTTCCTTCAATGTAGGCGCGTGTAACTTGCGAGGGATGCTATACGGGGCTTGTGCAGACGGGATTGCATCAGGTTTCACAGGGAGAACATACGGTGGTAAATTCAGCTTCCCCACCGGTCCTACAAACGCCACCTTAACGCGATTGAGTGCTGCTCGTAGCCGCTGTTGTTGTTCCAACGCGAGTGTATCCTTCGGTATCAGCGCATCAATATCAACTTCCTTTCCCTCTGCGTTCAGGATACTATCAACTCGACCATCTCCATCCACTTCAGCGAACAACACGGTCGATTGGGGCGCAGGAGTTCCCAGCGGTATCGTAGCTCCGTCCCAGTGAATCTTGGCTGGTTCTTCCAGTCCAGCATGATGCCCTGCTCCTCCATAAAATCGGTTCCCAACATGATAGGATAGAGAAGTTGATCTGCAACTTGAAATTCATGGTTCACCTGTCGAGATGCTCCAAAGTCCTCCACCTTAAACGGAAGATCAATGCAACCATAAGTATCTTCCAATTTGCCTGCCGCATTTTGATACTTTCCTTGTGGTTGTTGAGGTGTATATCAGGACACGATCTCCTTTGCCACCATTGAAGTATCACATCCCGAGTCCAACAGGGCTACAACAGTCCTCTTGGAGAGAGGGTGGCGTAGTTGCACTCGAACCTGAGCCTTCCGCGAACTTGCTGTCGTCGTCCCTGCCACTGCGGCATCGTTCACGTCCCCACATGGGATACCCGCGTAGACGTCGTCTAAATCATCTTCACTATCGTCGTCATGGCTGGGATAAAACTGTGCCGCCGCCATCTCTCTCTTGGGTTTGAGATCAGCGCCCGTGTCTTTCTTGAAGCGCTTATTAGCATTTGGTCGGTAGCTCAGCGAATTGGGGTTCCTAAAACAGTCTGCATTCTTGTGATTCTGATTGAATGGCATACCTTGATCTTCACAATAACTGCAGCTCTTGTCGTGGTCCGACTCTCGTTTACGCTTGCCTTGGCTTTGCTGACTTCGACCATCTTTTGACTTAGCTTGGATTTCGTGCCGACTCTGAGACTGACTTCCTTGTTTCTTTTCCTTCTTGAGTAGCCCCTCTTGTCAAAGCGCCCGCGTTTTCCTCCTCTTCCAGACTGTCCAAACGGGGATCTTGACTCCTCAAGCCGTTCACAGACCTTGTAGCTCGTCCGGAGCTCGAGTAATGCATCCGCCGGGTTGCGAATGGCAACGAATTCAACTCGCTCGCGCCAGGACGTCGGCATCCCTCGGTGAAACAGCGCAATTTGATCATTCACACTCACGTTTAACTCCACAAAGGCTCCCAAATCCAAGATATACTCAAACTGGTTAGCATATTCGTCCACTGGCATGTCCCGTGTCTTCCTTAGATCACTCAGCTTTTGGCGAAGGCGTGTCGTCACATCAAAGGGGCAGTGTCGCTTGGTCAACGCCCCCAGTCCAGCCGTTAGCGCTTGATTCAGCATCCCTGCTTGCTGGTGCTGCTGGTTGGCTGCAGTGAAAGCTGCATTGATGAGGCGTAGGTCGTGGTTGAATATCACTTGTCGAACGATACACACCAGCTTGTTTGTATCTTCATCTGAGATTGTCAACTGCCAGGATGTACGCAGTTGGTCCAGCTGATGGCACAGCTCCAGCCAGTCCATCCAGTCACCACGATCAAACACTTTGACCTTGTAGTACCCCTTGACAGCTCCGTCAAACTTAAATCTCCTCGTGTTCTTGTCTTCCTTTCCTCCTCCCATGCTCATCTTGCTGCCACGCACAGGTACGCGAAATAGAAGCTTCTATATGTCGTAAGCCACTTGAGCGCAGCGATGAAAGAATGAAAGTGTGGTCTTTTGCTTAGGCTCGTGGTTGGCTACTTTCCTAGAACTTCTCGGAGTCAAAACTATTTCTATCAACCACTCCAGCATTGTCTGGCCGTTGGATGACCTGTTCAACGGCGGAGATATACTTGAGTCGTGTCACTTCACGACAAGCTCGACAAGCTTCGCCTAGCATGCACTCACGCGCTGGTCGAACGGCAAAAGGGGCAACAAAAGCTCCGCCTCACTGCTTGGTTCCACCCATCGGACGAAAATGTATTATTCGGTCACAACGGGGTCCTCAAACAGATCCAGCGAGATGGGGCATGTCAGCACTGCCTCCCGTTCCGCATGACTCCGTCTGCTAATGTCCTGTTGCGTTTTGGCTGCGTCGCTTGCTTGCTCCACCAACTGGGCTCGCTCTCGGTCGAACGCGCTTCGCTGCTCATTCAGACGGTTGGCCAACTCTTGATCTTCAGTCAGGTCAATAGGTTCTGCGGGACTCTCAGCACGTCCATTGCCGCGTTCAAGCGCCTCCATCAACCTTTGCATGTGAGGCATAGCGTTTACCAGCGACGAGTGGATATCGTCGTGGTCATTGTCACGTCTCGCGCCTTGCTGCAGCGATTGAGCTCGCTCTTGCTCGAATTGTGTACGTTACTGTTTTTCGAGCTCCTCGATCTTTTTTTTTAAGAACGAGCTTATCTGAGTTCGACTGCATGTCGTGCTCGAGTAGTCTCACCGCGGCATCCAATCGCTGGGTGCGAGTCACTTGTTGCAGGCTCTGAATGTGCGCCTTTAGTGCCTCCACTTGCTCAGTGCTGCTGGTAACAATACGTTGAAGTCTGTCTGCACGCTGTCGCTCCGCTTCGCGCTCGACTTCCTCCTCGCAGATACGCTCTTGCAGTTGCTTGACATCGCTGTCCTTAAACTCTAGAGCCCCCCTCCATTCGCCTGATCTCCCGCCGCAACTCCTCCTCCCTGCTCGCGTGTGTTTGGCGCAGCTGCTGCAGTTCTCGTTCGAGCCTTTCACTCTGCTCCTGCAGGTGCTGGGTGCGTCTGCTAACCTCCGCCACCTCTTCATGGCCCAAGCCACTCATGACACAGTCTACGGGTGATGATTGGCTGGACTTTGGAATGACGAGTTACAAGCCGAAAAATAGTCTGGGTAAAGTAAGAAGCAAGTCCTCACCGTTTTGATCACGAACGGAATTGTATCCTACTATCATGGATACGTAGTACAAGTATTTGATACTGCACCATCGACGCGCTGGATGAAAGCCGATCATGGGTAACAGTTGAAATGTCACCAGTTCGCAGGCATCATTGATTGAAATTCATCGGATCTCTTCGTGTCTTAACAACAAGAGACAGCCTCCAGTTGGGTGGGTATCGATTAGGTCTGCTGTGCTAGGAACGAGTTGCGGGAACGAGCACAGCCTGGAATCGAGATGCAGGAAACTTAACATCTGCACGTCGCGCACTATGTGTCGGATGCAGAGTCAGAACGCTGGCGGCCAAAGAAGAAAGATTGCCGGCGAGTACTTCCCTGCTGGTGCGTCTGTCCCTCCCTGCTCGATGCCATAAAAGTTTCATACAGAATTCGTGACCGGGATCGTGGCGTGCGCCAACCCGCCCTTGCAGATCTAGCAAGCGGTGTAGCAGAAGCTGCTTCAGTGGATGAAGCGGCACTCGGAGTAACAAGGTTGGATTCTTCTGTCGACGCTGCTGGAAGTGATCTTCTAGCCCAACCACCGATTTCGAGGGGATTGACTCCACTAGGCAGTCTCCTAGATCGTGCGTGACTACGACGGCGGGCGAGACTAAGGAAGCCTGAAGTATCTCTTGCGGGGTCACGTGGGTGTGTGATATCTTCTCTGGAAGAAGTTTGCGCAGAGCTTGACGAATCGGCAGCTGGTGCGGCGCTAGAAATTAGGGATTGGCGACGAGAAGCCCGAGCTTCTTGGAGTGACTCGGTCGTGACTGCACCAGCGGGATCAGCATTTAACTCCGTAGCGGTCGTAGCTCGATTCGAACGTCTTGACCTTGAAGATCGACGCCGTGGAACTTCTGAGCGTGCATGAACTCTTTCCGTGCGCTCTGTCCGGTGGCGACTTTGACGAGCGCTAGAGGCTTCTGAGCTTCTTCGCCTGTGAGAGCGGCTTTCAGATGCCGAAGTAGAGGAACCCGCCGTTTCGTTAGGACCAGGCGTGGCAATTGATGGAGCTGGCTCAGGAAGAGCAGGGGGGAGTCCGAGAGCTGAGCGCTCCGCCCGATGCAGCTTGTCGTAAGCCACTTGAGCGCAGCGATGAAAGAATGAAAGTGTGGTCTTTTGCTTAGGCTCGTGGTTGGCTACTTTCCTAGAACTTCTCGGAGTCAAAACTATTTCTATCAACCACTCCAGCATTGTCTGGCCGTTGGATGACCTGTTCAACGGCGGAGATATACTTGAGTCGTGTCACTTCACGACAAGCTCGACAAGCTTCGCCTAGCATGCACTCACGCGCTGGTCGAACGGCAAAAGGGGCAACAAAAGCTCCGCCTCACTGCTTGGTTCCACCCATCGGACGAAAATGTATTATTCGGTCACAACGGGGTCCTCAAACAGATCCAGCGAGATGGGGCATGTCAGCACTGCCTCCCGTTCCGCATGACTCCGTCTGCTAATGTCCTGTTGCGTTTTGGCTGCGTCGCTTGCTTGCTCCACCAACTGGGCTCGCTCTCGGTCGAACGCGCTTCGCTGCTCATTCAGACGGTTGGCCAACTCTTGATCTTCAGTCAGGTCAATAGGTTCTGCGGGACTCTCAGCACGTCCATTGCCGCGTTCAAGCGCCTCCATCAACCTTTGCATGTGAGGCATAGCGTTTACCAGCGACGAGTGGATATCGTCGCGGCTATTGTCACGTCTCGCACCTTGCTGCAGCAAATGGGCTCGCTCTTGCTGGAACTGTGTACTTTGCTCCTGCAACTGCTTCTTGAGCTCCTGCACCTTGGTTTCAAGACGCAACTTATCCGCGCTGGCACGCCGCTCTAGCTCCAATCGCTCTGTCTCGGCTGCAGTTTGCTGGTTGCGAATCTGTTGCTGGAGGCTCTCGATTTGAGCTTGCAGCTCCGCCGCCGCCTGCAGTTGCTCGGCGCTACTGTTGACAAGACGCTGCAGCTCGTCAGCGCGCTGTCGCTCTGCTTTTCTCTCGTCACGCAGACGCCCCTGCACTCGCTCGGCCTGTTGGCAGTGGCGCCGGTATTCGTCTTGCAGCTCCTCCATCTCCTCCCAGAAGCGCTTCCTCTTGCTCGCAAAGTCTTCGCGCTGCTGCTCCAGTGCGTCCTCCAAGTCGCCATTTTCTTCCTGGAGCTTGTCGATCTGCTCCTGCAGCTGCTGCAGGAACGGTCTCAAGCGCTACAGCTTCTTGGCCCGCACAAGGAAACGGGAGTGAGCCGATGATTGACTAAATGTGATGCAGTACCGTAACTCGGACTACAAAATACTGAACAGTGAAGGAAATGCTACAGTAATGCGCCAAGTACGCTGGGGCTGACTGAAATGAGTTGCAGTTGAATACTTATCCTGGGAGACCAGCTTGCTGGTTCACAAACTTTAATTCGTCACGAATGTATTCCCAGTCACAGGTAACGTTCAGGAGACATCGAAATCGCAATTAGCGATGGTACAAAAGCTTCTCAAAAACAAAACACTTCTTTGGAAGTTTTTCGCTCTTCACAAGTTTTAAGAAAGTAGGCAGACATTTGTTCGTTTCAATTTGACTAGAATATCATTTCGTAGTTCTCCAGTTGCACATTACCGGCCAGATGCTGCGGCTGCGAAGCAGGCGCAGTAGATGGCCGTAGTTATCATCAACTAACCGTGCTTCTTGACTCAAATTTTGTCCTAGGTTAGATATTGTGCTACAAAACCGCCATCCACAGGCGTCTCCTGCGCCTTTTTCGCAGCCGCAGCATCTGCCTGCCTCCGACTGCTAGGGTTCTCGAAAGCTGCAGTATGCGTAGTTCCACAGGCAGTTCACCAACTACTGCACCGACCTCTAAAGAATATACAACAGGTTCGATACAAACGCGAATTAGAAGTAAACGCGTCGACTTTCAAAGAGTTTTAGATTGCGGAGGGCTGCATCTGAACATCTTTAGTGTAAACTATCTGTCTGTGAACAACCATGCAGAACTTTCACTTCCACGAAAAAAAAAACTAAGCTTAAGTAGAAAATTGGTCTCCCAGCCAAAGCGCAGCAACCTTGTTGAGCATGAAAACGGAGTATTCCACTTGAATGCTACAAGCTGTCCTATTACGCTTCGACACTATGGGTAGGTTGCACCTCAATGGTATCTGGAGGCATGAAGAGACGATAGTTTTGTGCGACTAGCTTTCAGTACAGGTCTGCGTCGGAACTCGGTAGACCGTGCGTGGCGAACTCAATCTGGAACTCGAGGAGGGGCTCGAGGAGATTGACGTCGAGCTTCGTAATAGCCATGGTTGTCGTGGCCACGAATCGTAATAGATGTGCGGTGCCTCGTAGACCTTTCTTGGCTGGCAACAGGCTGGTTTGACGGCAAACTAGCAGTTGAACCACTTCGTTGGGCGAGCTGGATAACCCCAGAATCATCAGCTCTGGCTCCGATTTCTTGGTGCTGTTCTGTCCTTGGGTTTTGCTCACCTTCCACGGCGGCTGGCGACCGAATAAACTCCGTCCTGCGCGAAGATATCGCGCTTCTCTCCGATCCCACGAGTTCTTGACGGTCTCTTGGCACAGTCCTAGCAATTACTGCAGCTCCCTGAATGTTTCTCGATGCAGCGGGCGTCTGCTCCCGCGGTTGGGATTGAAACACTGCCGATCGAGGACGAAAAGGCGACGAGCGTGAGTTTACCCGTTCAACGCGTTGTTCCCGTGGTCGACTTTGACGGCTGCTGGTGGAGCTTCGACTATGGTGAGAGCAAGTGGCGTCGGATATAGGCAGCGCTAGTTCGACCACCTCATCGGAACTTGGTGCACGGAGTTCCGGTAGTCCGAGAGCTGACCGCTCCGCGTGATGGAGCTCCACCAGTGCTGCCACATCGCGGTTTGGACTAAACTTCAGTCTTGGCACGGACACAGTGAGTTTCTTCTCGGCCCTTGACGTAGACCCGCCGACGAGAACGTCTTGCCGCAACATTTCGTCACCACTGGATCCACGAACAATTCCAGAGATATCGGGCACGTTAGCACCCGCTCCCGCTGAGCCAAGATGCGGAGGCTAACGTCGTGTTGGGTTCGAGCAGCGTCGCTTGCCTGCTCCAGCGCACTCCTCGTTGAATGCACTCTGGTGCTCACTCGGTGGCGGCGAATCGTTTTCATCTTGGGTCAGATCAACTGTTGAGGCAGCTATAGCGGCTTGATCCTGGTCAGTCGTACCCGTGTGCTGCGGAGACGCATCAGTACTCCCTAGCTCTCGATCCACTTCTTCCAGTAGACTACGTAAATGAGGCACCGCCCTCAAAAGCGACGATTCCAGTCCCCGCATATCCCGACCACCTGCATCAGTTTTTTGCTGTGTCCATTGTGCGCGTTCCAGTTCAAATGCTTCACTCTGCTCTTTGAGCTGCTTCTGCAATCTCTCTACCTCCTGCTGAAGCTGAGCGTGTCTCGCTCTAGCCTCCTCTATCAGTGCAGCGGACTCTCTCGCCTCCACACTCAGACGTTGCGGTAGATTATTTACCGGGTCGGATACAGGTTGGGCCTGAATTTCCGGTCAGGTTTTTCAATAGGGGAAATTGCATTTTGGTCAGGAGTTTGCTAATCAGTCAGGACTTCTGAAAGTAAGAATTGGCACGCCAGATCTGGAAGACACTACTACATTGTAGATCCAATTCTTCCAATGTGCTCGTACGTCTGCTGTTTCGTGTCGTGAGCTGTTAGCTCGGGACTCTCCAGCCACCTCCCGACTCAAGGAGGTAGTCCTCGTGCTAAGCTAAACGAAGACAAACGACTGGCGGTCCTTGTGGCCTACGAGTCGCTACAATTTACTGGTTCTCGCTGAGAACCCACGAGCAAGCACCGATCGACCTCCTGCCTGACCATTTTGGTAGTTGCTATGTAACGGAGAGTTAGCTCCTAAGTTGCTTTATGCTGTAATGCTTGCTAGCCGAGAGCACACTTGTACTGGATGCAGTCCAGCATATTGCTCATCTGCGATCTTAAACGTTCTAAATCTAGTTTTTACGACCGTTTTAATTCTTACTTTCAGAAGTCCTGACTGATTAGCAAACTCCTGACCAAATTGCAAATTCCAAGTAATTGCAATTTCCCCTTTTCAATACAACTATAAAGACGTTTCCTGGCCACTTCCAGCTGCTAGTTGGCAAGGGTGGGCGACATCACGGGCGAGGCCGAGAAGCGCGAGCGCGAGACTCACCAAGTGAATTCACGCATTGCCAACACCCGCCGATCAGGCGGGGGTGTCTGCGCGAGCGAGCGAACGCGAGCGCTGCAACCCGATATATTTTTTTCTAGACACAGCGCCTGGCCGAGTCGAGGACTTCGACTAAGGGGGTGAGGCAGGCCGCACAGCGGCGCCCCCGTGTCGAAGTCCGCAGACGAGAGCCAACGCGATAGTATCCTACCCAAGGTACGTTATCCCTCCTGAAATGCCCGACCAAAATGCCAGGTCTGACCCGTATCCAAACCGATAAATAGATAGCCGACGTTGCTCCATTCCCTGCGCCATTTTGTTCTTAGAGCTGCTCTCGTTTGTTGGCGAAAGTGCTCAACGCTCTCCTTTTCTTGACTTATAGTTTTTGTGTCGCGATGCTACTGTAGTCCCGGACCCGCTTTCGTTGAGGCGGTTGAGGATAATCTCCGCGCGGTCCCATAACGATTGAGAAGATGGGGAGTGTTCTTGCGTAACTGAAACTTAGTGATTAATCCGTTAAAGCGGACGCCATGTTCGCTTACTGACATGTGAGTTGTGGTTATGCATTTACTTTGGTATACATGAAAACAGAGCATTCCGCTTTTTGCTAGAGGCTACAGCGTCACCTACCATCGCCTTTGGGTTGGCCAATACTGCAATGCATGCTTAGTATCCGGATGTCAAGTCGAAACTCGAGGCGGAGGTTGGATCGGAGCTTGGCCAGCTAGATCTGGGGCTCGAGTAGGTGCTTGAGGAGCTCGCGGCTGAGCCTGATTCGTAGGGGTAACCACGGTTGTCGTATGCAACACTTGCGGGAGATGACCGGCGCCCCGCATAGATCAGCCGTTCCCGGCCGAAAGCAAACTGATTTGGCGCCGAACTAGATGCGGGGGCAGTATGTGGGGCAACATCATCAAATATGTGGTCGATACCTTATTGTGATTCTTCGCTTGGAATTTGGTCATCTCCTTCGACAGTCCATGATGTAGGATGCGTGGAAACGGTGGGGAAGATGTAACGTCGTAGTCTTTACTCTCTTGAAAGCGGAATGAAAAGTGTATTTAGCTTGGCTTAGTTCGGGTTTTCCTTCTTTGTTGCTGCTCTTTTGCAGCCAGTCATTCTAAGAGTAAACCTAGCGTCATCTTAACCTAAACTAAAGTAAACACAGAGTAATCCTTCTAGGTGTCATCAACGGAGTTGTACTCCGTTACACGACCCCACTTTAAAAACACGCTTACCCCTTGACCGAAGGGCAGTTGGAAGCGATATGCCCAACTTGCTTGCAACGATGACACGTCGCGGTTTCCATCCACTTGGCCGTGGTTGCTGGCGTGCTTCCTCCAGTGACCCCATGATCAAAGCGCAACGCGAGCTCGATGGTCTCTTCCAGTGTAGCGGGGTGATGTTCTCGGAGATGGTGGGACGTCTCCGATCGAAGCCCCTGTTGAAAGTAGAACCGCAATTCCATGGGGGTGATGGCCACTTGGCATTGGATCAGGATATCTTGAAAGGCGCTCAGGTAGTCGTGCAGGGAGCCGATTTGCGTGAGTTTGCGGAGTTTCTCGCGCAGCATATACTCATTGTCCGGTGGCAGAAAACGTTTGCGCATAGCACCCTTGAACGTCTCCCAGGTTCGGACAATTTGGGCTCGATCACACTCGGCCACAAACTGCCGATACCAATTCAAAGGCGTGGGTGCCAGGTAGCACGACACCATGGTGACGAACGCGGGGCTGTTCTCCACCATGATCGGGTGATAGTCGGCGTAGTATTGTTCGATCATGAAAAACCACAGCTCTAGGTCCTCATTGAGCGTGCCGTGATACTTGGGCGGCTCCGCCTCCCGGGCAGCAGGTGGTTTGCTAGTGATTGCTTCAAGACGCGCAGCTTGAGCAGCTATTTGCCCATTCATTCGTGCGTGAAATTGTTCTTGTTGTTGAGCAAAAAACTGCAACATGTGACGGGGCACACAGCACTTCTTATCAGAGGAAGCAGGAGTATACAAACTCCAAGTGAACAGCCGTTCACGTGTCCCTGGTCTGAACGGGACGACTTGACTTGAAAAGTGGTAGATCTAAGACTGAATGTATTTATAGGTTGGTACAGATTTGGCCTGCATACAAATCCTAAGTTCCCTATAGTTTGTGTAATACAAAGTGTATATGTTGGCTCTGAGGCCACTTGGGTCACTATCCAGGGGAGTGACCGATGTAGCCATCCCGGAATAGTGACAGGGTCACTATTCCATGTAACCCCGTTACATCCTCCCCCACTTAGATTCGATCTTATTGACCAATCAGAGCGAGGTTACGTCGGCGACTCACATTTCACTCGCAAAGTCGAAATCCATCGACAACGACGCGAGCTCTGGCGCCTTGGCTCCCGGGCCTCACAGAGCAACTGGCGCATCGCCGAGCAAGCCGCAGGGTCTTCACGTCGACCGGAAGCATGCCTCCAAAGCGCAGTGCGCGCAGTGCGAAAGCACCTCCGAAACGCGGGCCGTAGGGCCGAAGACCAGGGCGGCCAAGGCCAAGGACGAGTCGTCCGCGCTGATGGAGGCCACGAAGGCGGCCGAGGAGGTGGTGCGCTCTCGTAGCAGCACGCCGGAGAGTGGCCGTCAGGCCGGGGCTCGGAGCAAGTCTCCTGACGCCGCGCAAGGCAAGGAGGAGAGTCCTCGGGGCCATAAAAGCCCGGCTCGCGACTGGGAAGCCGCCGTCTTTGACTGCACGATGGTCCAGTACTCCGGTGAGAGTTCACCCGACGACGAGAACGTCTCGAAGGGTATCACGCACGCTGCCGAAGGCACGGAGCTGGCGGCAGGCGACATAACCAACGCCTCGGCCGACGCAAAGGCCTCGTCAGAGAAGGAGGCGGAGGACGCCGAGTCTGGCTCAGGCGACAGCAAGCAGTCGCACGACGAAGTCGCCATGGCCGACGCTGGGGTCGTGGCCGAGAAGTCGCCGAGCGACGCGGGCTCCAAGCCCAAGGAGGTGCTGGCATCCAAGCATCTGACGCTGGCACAAGGTCGTGAGCGTGCCCAAGCGTCGAAAGCGGCTGCCGCTGCGAAGGCCGCCGAGGCCAAGGC